AAAAAAAAAAAAAAAGACATGGACTACAGTCATCTACTGAATCATTTATGAGATTAATATGCATTTATTCTGCAAACATTGACTGCATTGCCTGATTTGAATGTTGGGCATGATGATGCTATTGTAAAATGTTAGCACTGAAAGGGATCTGTGCTAAGTGCACCTGAGCCAAGCTTTTTATTACAAGCAGGAGACTGAAGCCCAAAGTGAACTAGGTGTTTGGTCCAGGTGACTAGCTCATCTGGGCTGAGGTGCCAGTTGGGCTATGGATTTCAGAGACTTGCAGTTGCTCAGACGTGTCAAGTGGGACTTCTGAGTATGGGTAGATAGGTTCTTGTCAATTATGGTGTAGTTGTCTCATTCATGTATTTATATATTGATACAATAATTTTCCAGCAGATGGCAGTCAAGTGCCTTGAGGAAGAGGCACGTTTTTCTTATTCACACAGGAACCCTGGTGCAAAGTCACTGGATCTGGCAAGAAGAAAGGATGAGAAGGTTAATGGAGCAGGATGAAGAAGGAAGCAGAGTTAGGACCTTGTTTAACTGAGGAAGGTGGTAGAAACAGGGAAATAAAGTATAAGATGGTGAAGAAAGAGCAAGGGAAATAATTTCCCTTTTATCTATGCAAATAAAATGTCTTTCCCACAGCAGTTATCATCTGTGCATGTTTCTGGTGTGTTCCAGATGCGATTTGAATTTTGATACACTGCCATGTTTCTCAACTGCCTGCAGTGGATTGAAATCACCCTTTCCCAAGGTCAACTTCAGAGATACACTATCGCAGTTGCAGTTACAGCATATAATAGACATTTTGGATGTGACAGGTTTACTGCCATAGTCATTGGTACTCTGGGGCTGTTCCCCCCACTGAAAGACCTAAGACCCAAGGCTAGGACTGTTTCTGGAAAATGAAGAATTGGAGGAAAATGGCTGTTTGCCTGTTTCTTGTTACTAACACGAAATCAGGACCTTGTGCTTCCACTTTTTTGTCCTACACTAAAACAGTTACCCTCTGAAATCATCCTTTCATCATGGCAAGATAGCCTGACCCTAGATTGGAGCCTGCGCTTGATCTTAGCCAAAGGCTGAGAAGTGATTAGATTGGAGCCTGGAGCCCAGAGTGTAGCTACTAGCTTGTTTTTGATCTGGGACAAGTAACTAATTCTTTCAATCCCATTTTCATCTTTACAATAGGGAATGGTACCCATCTCACTGGATTATTCTGAGAGTTCATTAAAGGAATATCTCTGTAAGCTATAAAGTACAGGAGATATGGAAGAGGGAGGTGGTATCCCAGTTCTCACACTGCCTAGGCCCCTTTGCTTCCTATTTATAAAAATTCCCCACACTGGGGCGCCTGGGTGGCTCAGTTGGTTAAGCGACTGCCTTCGGCTCAGGTCATGATCCTGGAGTCCCGGGATCGAGTCCCGCATC